AATGAAAGTGGTGGACATGAACTGATGGGTATCCAAAAGTAAAGGAAATCTAGTGACACTGGTGTCACTCCTTTATAACAAGGATTTGGCATTTGAGCGTTGCAATAGGCTTCAGCAGGTCTGGACTCTTCACTGATCTGGGGAAGACTGTAAATTTAGGTACTAGGGAAAGCAGGCACCTCAATGATATAGCAACATACTTGATGTCTGACAACATTTAAAAATCTCTAGAAACTTCCAGAAGATAAAGTAACAACCATTTTGGCACAACTTAGATTTCAAAATTTGAAACAGTCTCATTTCATTTCTCTCTGATTTTGAAAGTTATTTGCTTATCTGTATTTGATCCTTTCAGATTTGACAAACATCAAGGCGTTTGCCTTATTTATATTATCACTTTCGTGTCACGTTGTCCCTGTAAGTCTTTGAGTATACAACAGAAGAATTTCAGTTTCCTGCTTAACCCACTAAATTACAAGATGACTTTTCCAGTACTCTGACTTGGCAATGTTGGTGGCAGTTTACTGAGCTACAAAGCATTTTTCACAGCCTATTTGTCTGATATATTGAGTTTTGGATCAATTTTACTGTAAGAAAAAAATGTTAGGTGAGATTTTTAGTAACTTAGTGTTTGCTCTGTTTACCTGAGTTGACAGCTTTCCTCCTTGAGCTGGAAGAATCTGTTTAGGTTGGCTTTAATAGCACAATTTGTAATCACTTTGTTGGAGCTTAAACTGAAATCTCAACTTTATTTTCACTGTGAAGTACAGCAGGCTTGTTTAAAAAGGAACCGAGAAATACCAGCCTCGGAGTAGAATTGTTTTTAGAAGAACCTGTCAATGTCTAATAACCAGAGATTGTTTTCCTCTCTTGCTCGATTAATTTTTTTTAAATCCCAATACTTTAGATCACAGACAGCAACTTTTTAATTTGAGTGCCATTGAATGTTAAATCTATTGTTCATTATTTAAGTACTTGAGAATTAATAGATTATCCTTGGGACACTGAAAACGCCAAGCAGAATGCCTTTAAGCAAAATCAGTATCAGTTGAAGTTTACAGTTACATTCGTTTTGGCTGTGTTATTTAGTTACTTGTGTCATTCAAAGGGCAAGAAAATTAATGTATTTCTCAAAACATTAGTACAAGTATCTTTTCTGATATTAGACAAACTACATTATGTCTGTTTCCACTGAACTTATTGATAATGGTGTCTAGGAAAACGTGGGCTCCAGCCTGGATCTTTCTTGGACTTCTGGAACTCGCGTCCTTATTCCCCTTCAGAGCAAAGGGGTGTGAACTTCCAGAGCAGCGTTAACCTCAGGTGGGAAACTGGCAAATGGTTTCCTGAAGCTGTGAGGACCTTACTTACTTCTGAGACCCCTATCTCTTCATTAGGATTGATTAAAATCAGCAGAGTGCCAACATTTTCAGAGATCACATACAAGTGTCTACAAAGAATAATTACATAAGCTTTACAAGTTGTTCCTGCACCAACTGGCTTTTCATTGACACTTCCCTCATCAGCTGCCTGTGTTTCATAAAGTAGGTGATAAATGGGCAGGTTTACTGCTGCCATGCAGAATATATAACTCCTACCTGTCTTCCCTGCAACGTGTCCCATCTACCCTGCCTCCAATTTTCCTGAAGTTTGTCACAGCTTAATCAGTGAGGCTGCTACCTCACTGTCAGGTTTAGCTAATGCTGGTTGAGGTTTGGAAGCTTCTGGGCAAGCAGTCAAGATCTGCAGACAGAAGCAAGGTTTTATAATCTCACCATCTTTCTATAGAAATCTCATTAAGAAGTCTATTCTAATGGACTCTTCTGTCGTAATTAAATACAAGGATGTTCTTCATAGTATGATTGGGTATAAGGCAGGAATTCTTTAATGTGTTGCAAGACTCTTTAACATTTGAATGCCAAATTGAGCTTAATCTTTTCTGTGTTAATCAGCATTTGAGACTATATCCATCTTGTGATTTACTAAGTGTGCCCAAAAGCTTCCATTAATCCTATTTCACAAGGACCTCAGTTATAACTTGGTAAATCAGAAATAACACAGTGAATCTGAGCTCTTCTAGGATTGAACTAATGGTATCTCATATAATGAAATCTGCAAAGGGGAGATACAGACGGTCTTAAGATGCAGTAATCCTATATACTTCATGCTCATCTAAAAGTACCTAGGATGCATTGTGAGACAGAATATTCTGAGATACTTGGAACACTTTCCTTTGCAGACTTCTAACACTTTAAAGCAAGGAGCTAAAGCAATGTAAAATTAAATGGGTATTTCCTTTTCTGCCTACCTTGTCCCAATATCAAACCATTTGTATTCTATTTCATCTTGTGCTAACATAACAAGTGAGCCCTTCACAATGTACAATTCTTAGGAATAATTTCAAGTTGACATCACAAGATTTTTCATATTGAGAAGAAATTGAAATTCATGGTACTGGAAAGAAAGATGTAATTAAACCATCTAGTTAGGAGTGGGGAAGTTCTGGTTCAAATCCTTTCTCCTATTGAGTTTTTACTGATTTTATCCCCTTATGTATAAAATAAAACACCTCTTTATGGGAACAGGGCTTACCTGCTCCTGACTGAGCATCATACCCACTGAACTAAAGCTGCTTTCTGTTGACCAGTAGCAAAACTCCCAACAGATTGCTGGAGACAGTACCTTTTCTACCACAGTTTCACACCTTTAAAAGGCAACAGCCTGACTGACAAAGCATCACACTGTGAGCCATGAATTTAGATAGCTTTAGACTGAGAAGGCCAGTTCCCTGTAGTCCAATGCAAATGTTGTAACCTTTGGGATATTATGTAGAGCAGCCTCAGTTGTTTAATGTTTGAAATCTGTAGTTTGATGTCTAGCACACTTTTATTTTTTGACACAACCCAGTATGAGTACAAATCACTGATGGATTTCAGCAGTGGTTGCGTCAGCCCTTTATTACTTGACATGCTTAGTTCGTTTGCATAAATCGGTCAGCAAGCACAGAAAAGAGTGCTGAAAGGGAACTGGAGGTTTCTTCTAGTTCATTTAGCTGTTTCTTTCATCATAGTGAAATTAATGAAAGTGACATATCTTGGGAAGGATTTCATGTGGTTTTGTAGTGTTATAAGTTTAGTATAGTATAGAAGTATATGCATGGGTACCTTCCCCTATCCCTATCAGTCCCATACTCTGCACACCATGGGTTCTTGCTTGGAGGCTGACTCCTGTCTTTGAAGAAATGCACAATGGTGCGTTTAACCTAGAGAGGTTGGTGAGTCTTTCTTCTTTGCCCTCCTCTTCCTAAGATACAAAATCCTCTTACCCCACCACAATCTCTTCTGTCAGCTATTCTCATCCCTAAACCCATGGTCTTCTACTGCCTCTGTGTTTGTGGCATTTGTGGTTTGCTCTTGTGCTTTGCTTTTGAAATGGGAAGCCCTTTCAAGACAGATGGTGGACACCACTTGTCTCTTACTTAGTTGTCTCTCATTGACATAGATACCACAACCCCAGCACTTAGGGAAGAAAATATTTTGGAGAATCAGCAACAGTGAGTTCAGAGAACAGAGCTTGTTAATTGGTCAGGACTGTGCAGAATGGCACTGAAGACACAGGGATAGTATTGTGAATAATCCAGGACTACGAGTTCCTGATAATATCGATATAATTTAGAATTACTTATATTTAAAATCATTACATTATTGTAGTAGTAGTATTTCACCCACTATTCTATGATCCCACCTGATTCAAAGGCAGGGTCAACTACACATAAATCTTTCCTGACAGAAGCTCGTCAACGTGCCTAGGTAATCTTGTAAAGGTTTGTCACTAATTCTGCCTAGCACTTTACATTCTGCAAGGTTATTTTATAGACTTAGGAGATTTATTTTTTTTAATGGCCAACAATGATTTTAAGACTTTTTAAAATCTGTTCAGCTTTACAACAAAAATATATTCCAGGTACATCATAAAAATTGTGTATTTTAAATATGTCAGATAAGACTGAAACTTCCCCTTTGCATAGCTTAATGGATATTCTCATCACTTGTCATTAAGTTTCAGAGAAGCAGTTAAATTGTAACCATTTATAAGTTTCATAAATGTGGATATTGGAATTATAATTAGAGATAATAAAACTTGACTACCTCAGTTCATTTTAGTATAAAATTATCTAAAGGTATAAGAAGTTTTCAGATATATCTGAAAAAGTCATTAAGTCAGGCAAAGTTGTTATAAAGGACCTTCTAATGAATTAGTGATTATTTAACCTTTCGTGACTCAAAAGGTCCAGTAAGAACTTCAAGGCACAAACAGAACCCGAAGTGATTGGGAAGATTGTGCTCTCTCACTTACCCATGAGCAAAGTTTATACATCAAAGTTATTTCCCTCTTAACTTTGCATTGTGTGGGTCTTTTCTGTTGTTTTCTCCTCACTTTTTATGAAGGAATCAGTTTCTCAAAAAGTAATGTCACTGAGTAAACAACTAAAAACTACTTAATTCTTTTATGCTGAATGAGGAAGTTAATTCATACTAAACAAAGGTTTCATATTATGAAGCTGGATGGAACCCTCGTGATCTAGTCATATATGGATTTTTCATCCATATGACTGCTGTGAATGGATTCCTTTGTGAACTAAAGTTACCTTTTTGAAGAAAACGCCAGTCACCAGTAGCTTTAATTCAAACTCTAGTAGTACAGCATGTAGTTCCTCAACCACTTTGCTGTGAAACATGTACCTAAAGACTGCTGAGATTTCTCTTGTTGCCTCGTCCACCACAGCTGAAATTCTCTCTTAGGTCCAAATGAAGTGCTAAGAATTAGATCTGGTACAAGACGCAAATCTGAAAACCCTTGTGTGTGTGCATCTATGTGTAAATAGATTATTTTTTTCTTTTTTTTTTAACTAAAAGCCAGACTTTCCTATCTTGTTGTATGATTCCAATTAAATGAAGACAAAGGAAACTAAATCTTCAAATGGTGTTTCTGTATTCAAGGATTATGTCATCAGTGAAGATGCGCAGAATCCCTCTGATTCAGTCTTGGCAACAAGTTCAAAAAGGAAGTCAGAGAATGAGAGTGAATCAGCTGTGCCTAATGTGGGCAAGCAAACAGGCATCTCCCCCTCCCTGGGTAACACTTTGGAGCACATTGTGGAGCAGCTGGATGTTTTAACTCTAGTAAGTATGCAATAACAGATAACACTTGCAGTGGGAAATGGTAATGCTGTCAATAGGCAAAAAATCCCATGAACCATGTTCCTAAACCAGAATATTAAAGGCTATGGGGTTATTTTGAATAGTTGTGTAGTCAGGTGACTGTTCTGTTTTTTTCCTTTCAGCAAATATTGATCACATTGTGTTTGCTACAGTAAGAGCTTCCTGCTACATAATCATAAATATTATTATTGTATTTCTAGCTCAGGAAGAAAAGACTCACTGTTTTTTAGTCGTGAGATCTAACATTGATTTGTCAGAAGCCAGTTCTTTAGCAGATTCCAGCTTGAACAGTCATGTGTTAGCAGGGCATGAACAAAACAAATTTGTAATGTACCATGAAATACTTTTTCAAACTTAGTGTTCAAGGTGTTGGATAGGAATCTAAGCAGTGGAATAATTCCTAGTGTCAATGAAACTGCCCAAATACTGGTCTCCAGCAATGACTCTGAGTCACTTGTTTGCAAATGCTCAATACTTCTTTTTTAGTAGTCCAGATTTAGCCAATCTGTGTTTTAAGATAATACTCTGTGGTCTGTCATATATTAACATTAAACCAAATGAAAAGGGAGTGACTATTGCAGAACTGTGTTGTTTTGCAATACAGAATAAGAAATACAGAGTAAGAAATAAGTTTTGGGAAGTACAAACTCAAGTCGTCAGTTGAAAATCATTTGTGTTGTAAATTGGATTAAAAAGAAACTGCCAGCCTGTGTCTAGAAACCTTTTCTGATGAGGGCAATCTCTTGGAGAATGCCTTTTAATAGTATATTTTTTTTTTCCTTACTTCCTGTTTTGGGGGCTACATTAGAAGTTTCTTTTAGGTTTTTGGAAGATATCATTTGGGGTCAACCCTGATGGCTGTTTTTCTGTTGAAATATGGATGCAACTTTCACTTAGTATTTCAGAGTAATTTATATAAGCACAGATATATTGCACGCTCTCCGAGAAAATATTTTGTGAGCACAATTTTAAACCTTTACACAATCTCCAGAGATACAAACCCATTATTTTTAAACAGAGTTGTAAAAGTGGAGTAGCTAAGGAAAAGCCATTTTAGGATATTTTTTCCTGTTGAGTTAGAATGATTCTTCTTACGTTACTGTGTTGCACGCTTGTAATAATGTGTGAGTAATACCAAACCCATTGAAATTCTTGCCCTCTTCATGCAGACTGTTTCAATCCTGGAACAACGTCTGACTTTGACCGAAGATAAATTGAAAGAATGTTTAGAAAATCAGCAAAAAATGTTACTTGAAGAAAGACAGGAAGCATGAAAGATGAAAACGAGCTGTACTGATTAATATGTTTCATATATTCACAAGGAAATAACAACTGTTACTTTGCTGGATTTTGCTATAAGAAAAAATATATAAATCCTCCTTTTCTAACAAGTTAATGTAATAACTGACAAAAAAAAAGCACAGCACATTTTAAACATTGGTTGCAAGCAGATAGTCTGTTTGTATATTTAATAAAGTGCAGCCTAGCCAAAACTTGTGTTTTCCAAAATCATTCCCATTGAGCATTGCAAGACTCTTATTTCAACTTAATAGGATCTTTGTGTACAACTAAGCAACAAACTACGTATTTTTAGATGAATAGCAATTATTATGGAAGTGCACTATGCTGTTTTTTTAGCTCAGGTAAGGATTGTCAAAATAATGCTCCTTGTGCTAAGGCAGCGTTACTCAAGCACCTAAATTAAATAAGACCTAATTAGCCCTAATTCCAAGAATGCCAGAGGTTTACTTTGTCCCTTACATACTCTCAAATATTTTACCAAAAGGTAGTGACAGTTACTCTCTATCTTCTAAATGTTTTAGTGACGATTGCAAGATGTGGTGTAAAAACTTTGAGTTACAACTATGAAAATGAAATCAAACTTTGAAACTATAACTGCATTTGTGAATTCAGCTGCAAGACTGATGGAGTCAAACACCTCCACTTATCTCACCCCATCAAAATTCATGTTTCATATTTACAAAAATAAAAAACAGCTTCATACTTCTGAATAATGTATTTGAACCAAACACAAAATGATGCAAAATCTATATCATAAATACAAAAGACTCTCATCTCTAAAGGACTTTAACAGGTGCTCAAATCATTAATCAGGAAAGACTTTCCAATGTATGATGATTTTGGTTTTATTTTTAATAAAAATGCAATTTTTAGAAAGACAATTGTAGGTCTTCTTTTTTAATAGAAAACATCTATGCTTCTTTATGTCTACCTATTATTATTTAAATGACAACTGCAGAAAACCACAAAAATCCACAATCGAAACTAGGTAGTCATCCATTGCTGCAACTTCACATTTAGTATGTTGAAAAATAGGACACTTGAAATGGGGGGAGCACTTTAATCCAATTCTGCAACTGACCGTATATAGATAAAGCCCATTTCCCAGGCTGAACCTCATTAACATCAATAGAGTTCAGCTTAAGTCCAGAAGCAAACTGTGCAAATACTACAGTGGTTCGAGCCAAAGTAATGAGCAATCCATTTTTCTTTTATAGCTTTTCATTTTCTGTCACAGTAATCACCTTCAGGTAGCCAGACATCATCTCCCTTGGTAAATTCTGGGTTTTACGAGTGAGTACTACATAGTTGCAGCTCAGTCTGAAGTAGACCTATTTGTCACAGTGAAGAAGTCTCCTCTTACAAAAATTTTAGATGCAACTGTTTAGATGCAACCTTCTAGCCACAGATTTTTATTTCTATATAATCCAGTGTAAACAGCCTGACCTTTGATTATGCAATTGTTTATAATGGTATATAAGGCATAGTTATGTAAATACTGTCTTTTAGGTCAGATGTACTTTGCTTTATGTATTTGCAAATTCTGGTCTTTGCCTTTTCTTGGCTCTATTAGATGGCATAAAACCATGTACCTTTTGAAATCTTCCTTGTTTCTTGCTTTCTCCGAGTGAACACATATATATATATATATATATATATATATATATATATATATATGCTTTAAACCTGTACAGAGGTTTTTTGTTGTTGTCATTCTTAAGCTTTTCAGGATTATTTATCAACAAGATTTGGAAATTTCCTTCTGGGTTGTTTTTTTTTAGTAAAATCTCTGCTGAAATTTTCCTTTCTGCCTTAGCTCCTACCACTAATCCTTCCTTTTCAGCACCTATTATCTGGAGCATTTACTACTTAATCCAGTTTATTCCTCTGCTGTTTGCAAATCTGGTGAACTAACATAACATTTCCAAATCAAGATATGTTCTTCTCATTCTATCAGGTGATTTCTTTATATTGAAATTCCACATGCATGACTCTTGGGGTGTGTGTAAAAATGGTTGTTTCAGATCAAGACGGAGGCATTTTCCTCAAGCTAAATGTCTTTTAGCTAAATTTTTGTCTTAAAGCCAATTATTTTTCCAATTCTAAAACTTAAATTTTTGGCTCTCCTAAACCACAACCAGCTTACATTATATTTCTTTTAAAGGAACAATGATGTGGGCTAGTTATCTAATTCTCTTGATTCATATAATCACTATAATATAATCATATAAGCTTCCTTTAAAAGCTCCTGAAGAGACTGGTTAAACTCAGAAGCATTTACTCTAGGCTTTGTGCTCTGGCAGATAACTGGTGACTTGACTGATTTGAATTATGTTATAGAGCTGGAGGAAAATAACCACTGTTAGCCTTAGTTGTGCTTCTGCAGCATGTGGAAACGTAACTGTACAGGTCTTTAAATGACTATGAAAAGTGTATCTGTATTGCGGGCTGCAGTGAGGTATTGAAAACCCATATGTGTTCTAAACAAGCTGAACCAGGTAATTGATGCAGTGCAGCTTTCCTCAAGCCGTTATCCCTCTGATAGTAAATGTAAATAGGCCACGCTGATAAAGAAAGAGTGCTTTCAGTGCCCAGGCCAGCTACTGCAAAGCTGGCTCAATTACTTATTAAAAGTAGTAACACCAATGTCTGAATGATGTGCAGTAGATCCTCCTGGGGTTTGGGTGGGGAGAGAAGGTGGCATCTGGAATAACCTCTCCTGCTGGCATCACTGGCATATCGTTTCTGGAGGAGCCCAACTACAGATTTTGGAGGTGTCAAAGTGTTATGCAGTACTTCAGCCACTTGTTGTACATTCTCCTGCAAGTATTTCAAACCAGAAATGCTCTTCCAAAGGAAAGAAATTATGCCAGTTACTACTGTGCCTTGAATTTTATTTGTAATTCCCATTAAAGTTTTGTGGAATTTTAATGGCATTTTTATCTTGGCCATTACCTAAAGCATGATATTGAGGTAATAAGGGTATTTTTCTCAGTTTTTCATTTTGGATGTCAATATGCACTTGCTTTAGGAGCACGCTTAGAGATTCCTAATTATCACCATGGGGGCAGACACTGAATGGCTACACCTTGCAGTGTTGAACTGTAAGGCATTTCACTTCTTTTCTTTTGATCAGAACTCTGAGATTTTCAAATACCATGGCAAAAGCTGACTGAGACATCAGTTTATGCCAATAACCCATTGTGCTTTATGGACCAACCTGACAACTCAAACTGTATTCTGAGATTTTTTCTATTTCTGGGGAGTTGTTTCATTCATTTTATTATTTTTATTTTTTTAACACACCACTACGTTCTCCACATTCTCTATTACTTTTTACTACTGCTGATACATTCTTTATAAAATTATGGGTTTGGAAAACTAGTTCCTGGGGAGGAATGCATCTGAACATCTCCCTTGTCTCTGAGGGATTATTTCCTGCTTTTACATATGTAAGATTATAATTTATTGCTTCATTATCTTTGTGGCAAGAAACTTAAACTGTACTTTAAAATTTTGATTCAACTAATCTGGCTGGAGAAATTGTAGCCCCAAAGGTTCTCCTCATGGCCTGAACAGATGGGTGTGGCATGAGGGATTTAAGAAATACAACTTCCCACCTTTACTTGTGTTTATTTAAATGAATAAATCTGCTGTAC